GGTGGTGGGAAGGATGGTCTCCTCGGTCTCCGTGTTGTCAGGGGGGGGCGAACTGGCGGGACAGTGTGTCCGGCTTGACATTTTTGGAGCCTGGCCTGAAAGTAAGGACGTAGTTGAACCTGGTAAAAAACAATGACCATCGTGCCTGGCGGGGGTTCAGGCGTTTAGCGTCCTGCAGGTAAGTCAGGTTTTCATGATCGGTCCAAATCAAGAATGGGATCTCCGTGCCCTCCAGCCAGTGCCGCCATTCCTCCAGGGCCAGCTTAACTGCCAAGAGTTCACGGTTTCCCACGTCATAGTTTCGCTCAGCTTGGGACAAGCGTTTAGAAAAAAAAGTGCAGGGATGGACCTTGTTGTCCTACGAGGATCGTTGAGACAGCACCGCCCCTACCCCTGTATCCGAAGCGTCAACCTCGAGGATAAACTGTCAATGTGGATCAGGGTGGGAGAGGACGGGCGCAGAAGAAAATAATGTTTTCAACTTAAGGAAAGCAGACTCAGCCTCAGATGACCAGATAAATGGTCTGGAGGTAGAGGTGAGCTGAGAAATTGGGGCGGCCACTTGACTGTAATTTTTGATAAAGTGTCTATAAAAATTTGCGAAGCCCAGGAAGCGTTGCAATTGTTTCCTGGACTCGGGAGTAGGCCACTCGACCACAGCTCTAGTTTTTTCTGGGTCAGTCTTGCAGTGGCCCTCCCCAAAAATGAAACCAAGGAAAGGAACCGAGGGGACATTGAATTGGCACTTCTCAGCTTTTACAAATAATTGGTTCTCCAGTAACCTCTGGAGGACCCTCCTTACCTGTCCCACATGCAGAGAGGGGTCACGGGAAAAAATGAGGATATCGTTGAGGTAAACAAACACAAATTCGCCGATGAATTTGCGCAATACGTCGTTCACGAGGGCCTGAAAAACCGCGGGGGCATTGGTCAAACCAAAAGGCATCACTAAGTATTCAAAATGGCCGAGGGGAGTTTTAAATGCTGTTTTCCACTCGTCGCCTTCTCTTATGCAAACGAGGTGGTAAGCATTTCTTAAATCCAACTTAGTAAACACGGTGGCAGATTGTAATTGCTCATGGAGAGAGTTAATTAAAGGGAGTGGATATTTATTTTTAACAGTAATACTGTTCAGACCACGATAGTCGATGCAGGGACGTAAGGTTTTATCTTTCTTGGAAACAAAGAAGAAACCTGCACCGACGGGAGACGTGGAGGGGCGAATAATACCAGAGTCAAGGGACTCGTTGATATATTCCTTCATGGAAGCCCTCTCGGGGCCCGAGAGATTATAAAGTCGGCT